TTATCTGTTACAACATTATATATGTTGTATCAAATAATGTTATTTGCTCCTTGCTCCTGTTAGAATCCATGTTTCATGAAGGCAGATAGCTTTGTGTATAGTTGTACTGATATTATATAAAATGGTGTATCCTATATATGAATTAATAAATACCCGTATTCTGTAAACCACAGATCCCTTTTATAACAGTCATTTCCTTTCACCTGTCCATCTGGAATTATTTTGGGATTGTCCCACTGTGAAAGTTTTAGCCTAACATATATTTCCAAAACATTATTAACTCCTGAGGAAATATGTAAACAAATTGCATAATGATTCAGAAGCCAAACTCAGGCCTCTTTTCTAATGCTACTTTCTAGCTTTTTTTTCTTTTTTCAACTGCAATTATTTTACTTAAATTAATGTCTAAGAATAGCTCCCTGAATAGAGTAGTTTAAGTGGTAACAGAGAGGAAGGGCAAGGATGTGTTGATTCTTGACAAACACCAATTGAAAATGTAATTAGAGGTGCTAGCTGGGTAAGGAGAGTGGGATGGAGAAGTCATCTCAGAGATCACTGCTAAATAAAATGGACTTGCTCACAACATTGAGCTGAAAATCAAGGGTTGAGTTTCAGCAAACATTTATCTAGTGCCCCCTAATGGCAATGTCCAGACTTAGTGCTAAGGAATGAAATGAGAAATAAAAACAATCACTCTGGTGGCATAGTGCCTAAGGTATTTGACTGCTAACCAGAAGGCTGGCGGTTCAAACTCACCAGCCACTCCTCAGAAGGAAGACTGGGCAATCTACTTCCGTAGTGATACCGCCTTGGAAACCCAAGGAGGGGTCGCTGTGAGTTGGATCCAACTTGATGGCAGTAAGTTTGGTTTGTTTTTGGTTTCCCTTAGATGAGTGTAAAATCCAGACAGAGAGGGATGAAGTGCTACACACAGATATAATACCAAGTTCTAAATAAGTGTAGGGAAGAGGGAGATAGGTGACAAATGGCACAGGGAAAGGAGCACCTATTGGGGAGCTCTGGCAGCATAATGCTAACCAGGAGGCTGGCAGTTCAAACCCACCAGCCACTCCTTGGAAGGAAGATTGGGCAATCTACCTCTGTAGTGAAACCGCCTTGGAAACCTAAGGAGGGGTCAGTATGAGTTGGATCCAACTTGACAACAGTGAGTTTGGTTTTTGGTTTTGGTTTTTGAGTTGGGGGGGGGGGATTTTTAGAACTTGATGTAGGTGGAACTTCAAAGGGGTGGTGTGCCAGTCACCAGTCTGCATGTCCTCAAATTCATTCCTTACCACTTCCTTGCTCAGTTCTATATTCCAAGAAACTACATTCCCAGTATGTACTGCACAGTAGCTTGGGTTTGTGTTTGGCTAGTGGGAAACAGTGACAGGACAAGGGAAGAACCTAGCTGCCTCTCCCACTTTTCTCTGGGCAACATCGCAGGCAGTGGCCATGTCTCCTGCATGGCTCCAGCTCCCACCAGACATGTCCTCCATGACTTGAGCTTCAACCTGGTGATCCTGGCTCCTAAACTGTGGTAATAGCTGTGTCCCTCCAGCCCAGGGAAGGTAGAGGCTTCCTGTTGATGCTATTCTACTACCTCAGCTCTTCCATTACCCAATTTATCAATCAACCAATTGCCATTGAGTGACTCTCTGTGATTCGATTTGTGTCAGAGTAGAACTATACTCACTAGGGGTTTTTAATGGCTGTTTTTTTTTTTTTTTTTTTTTCCTCCCCAGAAGTAGCCTGCCATGTCTTACTTCCCAAGTACTTCTGAGTAGACTCAAATTTCCAAGTTTCCAGTTGGCTGCCCATACCAATGTTTCAGTTAAATATAATGGCAAAATGGTGTCCAAGGAGAGATGCCACTTGCACAATCAGGCCACATATGATTTGCATCCAGTCCATTTGTTTATTTTCCGTCAACTTTAAATCAGCTATTTTGGGCTCTGGAAAATGACTCATCCCTCAGAATAAGAGAGCCAGAAGGGGTCAACTTCTTCCAAATTATATGGGTGAGAACACTCAGGCTTTTGTATGATGAAGTAATTTGCTCAAGGTCACACAGCTGGCATAGTTGGAATTCACAGAACTCTAATTTCCTGAGTCCAGGTTCAAAGCTGTTTGTACTTTTCATCTGAGTCTTTAGCCTTTAGGTTTCAGTTCACCGCATGCACCTTTGGTCTTTTAGTAACCACAAGGTTAGGAACAAATTTGAGTTTGTTCCCCATCAATAATTTCAAAATCTGAACTAAGAATCAGCATATCATTCATTCCAGAGGAAACATTCTGGAGTGATCTTTAAATAGAATAAAATAATTTAATAAAGAGATATTTTATAGCCAACTGAAATGCAAGTAGAATTCAAGTAGTAGAATATATTCTACTTGGTTAGAAAAACCTTCAGCTTATGTGGTTTACTGGATTTTTCATGCAATTTGCCCTTACGAAATCCTACAGACTGAACACCAAGATTTGCGATAAAATAAACACCTTGAGGCAAAAAATTTAGAGACATTATCTGTTTAATAAATATGATTGTAAAAGCAATAAACAAGAGCAATTATACATTACACTACATAGTATTTAACAAAAAAATACATCAAAAAAGTCATTTTAAAATTAGAAGTAGTTCCAATACTATAAGAAAACTTTTTTTTTTTTTTTTAATTGGCTTCCTATAAAAATAAGTAGGCAAATGAGGGATTTCAATGCTCAGTTGGAATCCTGGAAAACACAGAACAGCTGCCAAGTACCCCATTGCTCTCAAAGTTGCTGTTTTGGAACTTCTGAAAGAAAGCGAAGCAAACCTCTGCATTTTGGACAGTGAATCCAATTGGATTAGGCATGGAGAAAGCGTTGGCTGGGTAGTTCAGGGTAAATGTGCACAGATTGCCGCTGGGATTTGGGAAAACCTTGCAATGTCAGATTCTTCTCTTGCCCTGAACCTTACCTTCCACACACACCCCACCTCACCCACTCCTCTGGCCTTATGTCCACCAAATTCCTCACTGTGTCTGCACCTGCTCTTTGGGAATTGGTAGGCACTTGAGTCCCTCCTATTTGTAGGCTCTTGTTACTGACTTCTCTTTGGGATTGAGCAAGAATGGCCTGGTACAGTGATTCTCTAACTTCAGTGCATATCAGAATCATCTGGAGGGCATGTTAAAATACATTACTGATCTCCACCCCCAGTGTTTCTGATTCAGTAGATCGGGGTGGGGACCAAGAACTTGCATTTACAACATGTCAGATGTGATGTGGATCCTGTTGGTCTGGGTACCATGCTTTGAGAACCATTGGTTCAGGTCATAAGAACAACGAGGTACCCTCTGAGAAGGACCTTGCCTCACTAATCTCTTACAGGTGGGATGAAGTTTTGAGGAGTGGTATATGAACACACTGGAGATGCAGAACCTATGGCTGGCCATTTTGGGCCACTTTCCAAAATGCCAGGCATCTTGTGTTCACCTTCATTTTAAATTAAGAGTTACAAATCCATTCTTCCCTATATTCTTTCATATAATCATTCAGTTCTTCAACAAATAATTTTCATAATACTCTATTAAGCAAGGCACTGTGCTAGATTAAGAGTGATATACCCATTTTCATCATTTCTCAATGAATATCATTTGAAGTGCAACTCTAAGGACTCTGTGCTATTTTGAGTGAGCCCCTTTTGTCTTCCAGATTAAATTTGGGTTCCAACTGAAGAAGACCAATGAGGATGTTTCCTATGGGATAGGAAGCCTGGTAGATTGGGGATCAGTTGAGTTCTGTAGGTGGCTGCCCCAGGCATAATCCATTTCCCAGATTCATACTGGCCATCCTCAACCATGAAACCTGCTTGAATAACTTCTTACAGCAGCTTTGCTACTCTTCTCCTGCCTGAGCTACGTAAGAGCTGGAGTCATCAGGATCTTTAGGGTACCCACATTAGTACCAGGTCCTGTCATACCCTGTTTTGGCTTGGGGACACAGTCAAGGAGACTTAGCTCTCCATGTAGTTTGGCAAAACCGCTTTTTCCTTTATTTTGGAGTGGGTCTGGTCTTGCACAATCTATAATATGGAAGGACATTTTGCTAGTCACACTTTTGTTTTCTTTTTCCTCTGGACCTTCTTTTATGATCACCCTGGAAAAAATTGGGATTTCTTCATGCTTTGAAGCCAACATATTTTGCTCTAATTAACTAAATGTCCTCTTTTCTATTTATTTATCTTCCCTTCACTGATACTAAGATACGCTGGGATGAGACAGTATGCGTGTGAAATGACTAGGATCATCCAAAATAATCAAAATATCATCCCAATATAAGACAAGACCTCCACATATTCTCCGAGGGTCTTTGACACTCTTAGATATTAAATCCATTAACCTGCTTCTTCTTTTGGTTAGAACCAGTTTTATTTCACAAATATGTTTACTCTATTGTGAGAGAGGAAATATTGGGTTAACAACATCCATCCCAGGAGGAAATCACTCTGCAACATAGTAACATATTCAAAACTTTTCTTGAAAGAAGCATCTGGATTTTGACTGCATGAGATTTTTGTTAACCTGTTAAGAACACCTTAACGAAAACTATTCATATGTATGCTTTTTTTCCCAATGTACATGGCCAGATTTGAATTTCTTTGCATATGTCAACTCTTTCGCACACTTGATATGTTTCCAGGAGAGAAAAGGTAGGGATATTTGAATGAGGCAGGTTCTAGAGGTGGAGACAAGGGATGCATGGAGCTGAATCCTGATGGGCAGGTTGGAGTTTGGTCACTGAGCATGGAAGCTGGCATGCTTGCGAGTGTACAAAGCTGACAATGAGATGGGGAACTTGCGAAGAAGCATGGCAGGGTTGGCGGAGGCTGGGCCAGTATTTAGGGAATGTTAGAATCAATGTTCAGAATTTAGCAACATATTTGGGGAAGAGAAAGTGGGAGCAGTTGGATAATTTGGGGATTAGAAGAAAGAGATTCAAAGATATTGACAGACTAGAACCACACATGGATGGCAAAATGGAATGGCAAGACAATGGGTAATGGGATTCCATTTTCTACATAAGTTGGGGAAGAAGTAGGGAAAGCTGCAAGGGGAAGCAGCCACATGGGAAGAGACGAACAGGTAACAAAGGTCCATTAGCTGACATGCTTGCCTCCCTGTCTGTCTGCCCTCCTTTCTACCTTCCTGTTCGACCTGCAGACATGGATTTCCACCTCCCTTCTTTGTCCCTGTGGCTGCACATTATACAGAATGTAGCCTGTGGCCACTCCTGACCACCAGAGCTACCAAAGTCAAGTCAGCTTGCGAGGGAAATGGCAATAAGGGAATTGGACCAGAGAAACAGCTCAGGGTTTCATACTCCTGTGCATGTCTTCATGTCTTACGAAATGAGCTAGGGCAGCTAATCCACCCATTAGCCAGTAGTGCTAAAATAGCTGTTAAATCTAGAGCCAAGAGTATTTCCAAAAACTCATGCAGATTTCCTTGGCCTATAATATAGTTATGAATTTTCTACAAACACGACCGATCAGAAAAAAGAGAGAGAAGAAGAAATGGGGAGGGGAGTGTTTTCCAATAAAAGAGAGCACCTGTACACTGCCCCTCCGAACATGTTCTCAAGTTATTGTCCACATGCACAGGCTTAAAGCTAAAAACCCTTGTTGTCTGTGTCTGAAGAATTAAAAAGTCCCGATGCAGTGAGTGTTTGTTTGTTTGTTTTTGGATTTTGATTGTTTTTATTTTATTATTATTATTATTTTTTTTTTTTTACTGGCGTCCTCCATTCAAACATTTACATAGGTAGGGATTTCTTTTGTGCTTTGATTCTCAGCAACTATGGAAATACTTCCTGGCAAAATAGGAAACAGAACAACAAAGGAAAGAAAAGGAAAAAAAAAAAAAAAAAACATAAAGTTAGTTGTCATGAAGGTTGGTGCACTTGACAAGAGCGAAATTCTCTCCTGATCAGTAGGTCGCCCGTAGCCTTTGGGGGCTTTCCTTAAATTGCAAAGTGTGGCCCAGCAGATCCCCGCTTTGGCGTTGAAGGTGGAGTGGCGTGTCTTGCTCTTTGCAATCGGAGAGATGAGTCACCCGGTTGAGTAGAAGGGGAGGGAGGGGAGGGTAAAGCTACTCTCCTAAGAGAAAACGTGTAACACTTACTCATTTAATGACACTGGAAATGGAAAGGTGTCAGAGACTTTGCAATGTGCTGTGTGATGTTCCTGGTGAAGAAGGGATTGCTACATTAATAAAGTCAACAGCAGCCGTGCTTCATACCCGTGGAAATGGTACTGAGAACCAAATGACCCAAAAAGATGCACTTAGAAGCTTCAGAAGTGAATAGCCAGGGTGAATCCTTCTTTGGATGCAAAGACAGGGAAGCTTTTTTTCTTTTTAACCCAAAGCAATTACACATTTATTACCCTGTCAAATAAAAGAAAGTGTGCTGCAAAAAATCTGAGCCCGGATCTGGCTGCTGTTGTTATTATTACCTATAATATGAGTCAGTCATTGCATTTAAATTTCCCCTTACTATAGCCACAGATCTTTCTCATACCCATTTAAAGAAAGGGTTATGTTTCCATTTAGCTACTCATCCCCCCCCACAAGTAGCATATTAAAAATCTTATGCAAGGGCCTTCTAAGTGGTTGGCATTATTACATTAGAGTGAAGCGTGAATGGTTATACATAAGTTCATATCATCGTAGTCAGTAATTCAGGGTCTACATGGGAATATGTATAGCTTCAACTCCAGATGCCAACAGACTGGAGGAACCAATTCAACTCCAGATGCCAACAGACTGGAGGAACCAAAGAGAGAAATCTATCAGCAATGGTATCTCCATTGATTTGCCTAACTTTCTGGAAAACTTCCTCTGTAATAAATAATAGGACCTGGTAATTAAACCTCCATACCTAGTGGTTAGATTCCAATGCCTACTTCATAGGGAGCGGTGAGTACTCTTGAAATATGAAAGCCATTTGTATTTCTGATACGGGATGGGCAAAGAAGAAGAAAGCATCTGCTAATCTGCTCTGTAACAGGCTGACCCTCCAATGGTCCCTCTCAGGGTATCTTACTCCCTAGGTGTTCTGAAAAGTATATACCTCTTATGCTCAAATTTTCAGGTGCCATATTCACAGAGGGACAGTTTCTACATTACTACTAGATTAAAAAAAAAAAAAAAAAAAAATCAGCAGCTCATCAGACCGGCCACTCTCATAGGATCACTTCTCAAGTGGGCCCTGGAGCAGTGCGTCCTCCATAGCACTGTGTCATATTGTGGCTGTTATATCTTGTTTTTGATCATTACAACCCTGTTGTTCATACCCCACCTGACCCTCCAGCCCACCAGCTTCTCCAGCTTGCAAACTATTAGAGCAAATACTGTGCTCTTTGCCTATGAACACCGCAAGCTCAACGTTTTAGGGAGGATTTTTTCAAAAGGAGGAATAAACTAATGAGATAGGAGCAAGAAGGTTTTGTTTTCTTTCCAGAGGAAGGAAGCAGGGAAAGAGGCATCTTAGCAGTTTCTCTCAGGGGTGTTAGAGCACAAGAAAGTGATTACATTAAGCCAGAACGGGGTTAGAGAGAGACTCAGCCACTGACTACAGAGGCTGAAGCTTATTGCTACCAGGAATCATTTACCTATGAGTTGGGGTTCCACCTTCTCATCTAAGAGCTGGCCAGGCCTCCTTAGTTCAGTCTGAGGGCTATTGGGCCTGGTTTCAGTGGGACTGACTGGACTGATCATCTCTTGTTCTTTCTCATTCTGCATCTGGGCATAAACATTAATGCCCGGGATCTTCCTAAAACATTAACAGAAACTGTCACTTCAGTGCATGGGAGAGGCACGTCACTGTGATGCGTGCTTCTGCACCTGTCAGGGAGCAGGAAGGGAGCTGTGAGGGGGAGAAAGGCACGCACCTTTTGAACTTGTAGATGATGAACACTGCCAGCCCCACAAACACCACTGAGAGCAGCATCAGCATGGCTGATCCACTGTGGGTTGGAGTGAGGTCCACCAGTGGGGCTAGGGAAGAAAATAAGGCATGGTCATGAGCAGAGAGTCTGGCAGGCGAGACTCCAGAAGGGCCCACACTGCTCACACACAGGCATGGTGAGTTCTAGGGAACACCACCTGGGAATGGATACGCAAGATCATGTCACACAGGGGATGTGTGAATCCCCAAACCCATCCCAGTTCCCAGAATGCCCCAGCACACTGTTAAGCAGTACAATGGGGCAGTTGAAGCACAGGCCTTGGAGCCAGACTGTGTAGATTCTAGCCCTACTCTATCACTTACTGGCTGTGGGACCCTGGGTAACTGACTTGACCATAACCCACTGTCTTCGAGTCAATTCTGACCCATAGTGACTCTACAGGACAGAGTAGAACTGCCTCATAGGGTTTTGTAGGCTGTAAATCTTTATGGAAGCAGTCAGTCTCATCTTTCTCCTACACAAGATCTGGTGGGTTTGAACCGCTGACCTTCAGTTAGCAGCTGAGTGCTTTCACCACTGCAAAACCAGGGCTCTTTACTTTACCGTAATGTTCCTTAATGTGGTGCAATGAGAATAATAATAGCATATAGCCCCTTGGGTTGTGAGGACTGAAGGGGGCAATGTATGTAAAACAATGAGAACAATGCTAAGTTGCTAACCAGAAGGCAAACTTTCCCCACTAAGCAACACTAATAATCAGTAAAACCATCTGCAAAAATAGGTTTATGAATTATCTTACCCATCCTCCCTTACTATTACCCCAGCAGTCCTCACGTGAGAGAAAGAAGCACGGAGTGATGGAGTTTGTTTATTTTTGCACACAGGACACTGATGGCTACATGAATATTTTATAAGGGAAGTCGCTGCTCTGATGCCAGAGGGGTGTATGTAACCGGTGTTGTCTCTAGGCTCCCAAAGCCCAGATGGCCACTGCCAGCAAGCCTGGAACTATCAGCCGCAGTGAGTTCTCCTCAGTGAGCTCTCATCTCCTCAGAAAGAAAGGCCTCATCAACCAAAAGAGTCTCTCTCCCTGAGTTTTCGCTTAGAGTACAGCTCTGGGGATTGTCTCTCTCCACCTCCAAACCTTCCCCAATGCCAGGGTCAAACCTGTTGTACTTGTAATAATTTGTTTGCAATTAATCTCCACCCTCTTGAAAACTGACATTTTGCAAATACAGCGTAGCTCAGGCATAAAAGACCAATCACGTGTACCCTGCAGAAGCCCGGATGCTGACCTTTATCTTCCATCAATTTAAGCAAAGCCTGATACTTAGAGATGTGGGTGACCTTTAAACACCATTTCCAGTGGCTTTTCTTTGCTGAGAGCTGGGAGGGCAATGTTCTGGTCACCCATGTACCAAAGTTCAGGAATAAGCGACTACTATCCGATGGTCTCAGACTAGACTGAGCTGCCTCTGCTCTGCGTGACTTTTGTAGGATGACATCCCACTTGGTAGACTACTGGAAAACATATTTCATATCACTACATGCTTTTGGTGAAAAATAAAAATCAAGCCTTCTTAATAAACTCCATAGTGGAATCTACTGTGAACAACTGAGTAGCTGCCTTAGGGATGTGATCTGTTTTCTGTACATGAGGAGAAGGTTTGGGAAACAGTCTCCAGCTTATGGCACGCTTGGACCCTGCGTGTAGCCATGTTGTTTGTTCAGCAGCCTGCCATGCTCTGCCAACCTTGGTACTTTCAATGGATTGAATTAATGGCCTGCTGTGTGGTTTGGTAACATCGGGACTGTGCCTTTTTACTTGTCAGCCTTGGGTTTGTCAGTCTCAGCAGCTGTCTGAGTGAAGAAAAGCCTGTAGCTTCAGCAGGAGACAGAGCTGAAGCCCAAGGTTGAGGGGCTTTCACCCAGCCCTTAGAGCCTGGTAGTTTGAACTCAGACTTAAAGCCTCCAAACTCTAAGAGAATA